TGGTCCTAAAACGTGTACCTGGCCACAAAACGGACAATAGTACACCCGTTAGAAAAACAGCAGCAAATAAATAAAATAAAGACTATAAAAATAATATAAAGCTGGCGTTTTCTTGATGCAGGCCCAAGTAAAAAATGCCATAGGGCCTTCAGGTTGCAGTGATGCGACCTGGGGGCCCTATTCCAACCTCGCGTCCCGTGAGGGGCCCGTGTGTAGGCTTTCAGCATGTAACAATAGGTGAAGCGAGATTACAATAAGCTTGCTGATGCACTTTCACGTAGGGCGGATTACCTAGGAGCACTAATTACTGAATTTGGCTTATATGACGAGCTAACTCGATCGATGGTGGACGCCTACAAGGAAGACTCTATCATGATGGACATCATACGCAAACTTGAGGCCTGAGACAAGGCCACATCTGATGAGTTTGTGATCGTGGATGGGTTGCTCTTCCTTGAGAAGGCACGGCTCAAAAGATTGTGTGTGTCGTCTAATGAGTCCTTGCGTAGTTTGCTTTTAGGAGAATGTCACGATGCAAGAAGACACTTTCGTTACAAAAAGACTAGTGCAAACCTGGTAGAACGTTTTTGGTAGCCGTCTATGCTGATGATGCAAAACATTTCGTACAGACTTGTCAAGTCTACCAACGAGACAAGTCGAGAACCCAAGCCCCGCTTGGGTTCATCAAGCCCTTGCCCATTCTGGCAGGTCCGACACAAAGTGTCTCCATGGAGTTCATGGACACCCTCGTGACCAGCAAAAGTGACAAAAGACATATATTTGTCCTAGTAGATCGGTTCACCAAGTATGCTAGACTAGTTGCCATGCCTGAGACGGCAAAGACTAAGCCCGTCATCAAGTTATTGATGGATAATTGGGTGCGTGATTTCGGACTGCCCAAGTGAGTAGTCAGTGATAGAGATGTCTGATTCACAAACGAGATGTGGAAGAAAGCGCTTGAGCAAATGGGCAGCCAACTCCAAATGACTTCAGGGTATCATCTCGAAGCTAATGAGCAAGAGACATATCTTTGTCATAGTAGATCGGTTCACCAAGTATGGAAGAGTAGTTGTCATGCCTGAGACGAAAACGACTGAGCACATCATCAAGTTATTCATGGATAACTGGGTGCGTGATTTCGGACTGCCCAAGTCAATAGTCAGTGATAGAGATGTCTGATTCACCAGCGAGATGTGGAAGAAAGCGGTTGAGCAGATGGGCAGCCAAGTCCAATTGTTGAGGCATTACATCAAGCCCAGGCAGGACGACTGGGATGAGAACTTACCTCTCATTGCTAGCCTATACAACAACGCAGTTCACAGCACCACCGGGGTCTCTCCGAATGAGTTGCACTTGGGTTGGAAGCCTAGATCAGCACTAGACTTTCTTCTTCCTGAAAACCGACCAGCTGCAACTCCTGGAACCATTGGATCTGGTGTCAGGTATGAGAAACTGTTGCAACAAGCTGTTGAGCATATCAGAAAATCTCAAGAGGCTATGATTGCCTCTGAGAACAGACACCGATGACAGTCCACATTTCAAGTAGGAGAGCGAGTCTCGGTTAAGGCTAGTGAGTTAGGACAGGAGTTCGACATCTCCAGAAAGCTAATGCCTCAACATTTTGGTCCTCGGGAAGTATTGATATCGTGGGTACTGATCCGGATGGTCCCTCCTATGTGATTAGAATCCCTGGTCACCTGCACACTTACCCTGTGTTTCACACTTCCAAGCTTGCACCTTTCGCTGATACTGACAAGCTTCCATCAGGGAGATCAATGTTGCCCCCAACCATGGATGGCCACGTGGGCATTAACGACATAGTGAATCATCGAGATCTGCCTGTTCCTAAGCCTGTGGGCAGAGGAAGACCGTCGAAACCCGGATCCAAATGAAAACGGCTGGTTCACGAAGGAGGAAGTGGTTAAGACAGCGACTCAGGTTGTTGCAGAGTATGGGCGAAAGTTGAGGGGGAAAGCAATTGTGTCGAGGCATCTCAACGGACTTTCGAAGCTAAGGGGGATGGAATGCGAGGAACGGGCCCTCACCTAGGCCGTTGGGTCGTGGCCTCCACAAAGTTGGGTGCCAGACAGTTGCTGCGTGCCAGTTGGTTACAGGGCCTTCAGCAGTGAGGTGGCCAAAGGCTCTCAGACAATGAGAATGCAGGGAGTAGCGGATAAGCCTTCGTAGGCCAATGTAAATGCAGCGTGTTGCAGCAGCCACGTCGCACAGCTGGGCAACTTCAAGGCTGCGGTCCCAGGCAATTGTCTGGGAGGGGCCTGGGCGCAGACACTTAGTACCAACATAGTATCAACACTGTTTATCAAACTCAAAGTCTCGTAATGTCAGAATAACCCCATAACTATGGTGCACTGCTAAAAAATAAGCAGCGCTCCACTCCCCAACTTTGAATAGCCGCTAGAACTACCCCTAAGTCCCTAAAACATCAAGTGCCACCTAAATACTGCCTCCACATGGCAGTGCCACCCTGAAACAGGCCTCTAAGGCCAAACGCCACTCAGAGGATGAAGAAGAAGACCAGCGCCACAGTGCCTGATGATGATGAAGTGCCAGATGACTTCCTGGGTCAAGCTGGGTGGAAGTCTTCACAGACTCTTCAGCAGTGCCACCTCTCCTGACAAAGATGATCTCTGAGGAAGAAAGCTGCAGCAATGGCTGCAGCGCCAATACACTGAAACCCTACTCCTGAGGAGGGTCCAGCAGGGCAACAACTTCTCTCGCTTCCAGCAGACCTCAGATAGCCCAGACCTCCGAACAGCCGCTCGTGATGTCAAAGTACAGCATAGGCCCCAGCTATGGTCGACGCTCCGGGAGAATCAGAGAATGGGTTGGACCCTCGTCAGTGACCTATGGTTTACGGGAATCACAATCGGAGAGTCGTCCCTGTGCCCAAGCAAAAGGTTACACTAAACATGCGTGATCCCGTTATGACAGCAAAAACTTGACATGCGGTAACTACTGCCTTATACCGGCTTTGTTTAACCTATTATACCCTAACTTTAACAACAGTTTTAACTGCTAACTGCTTCTAAGAAGCTAACCTCAGTTCATAGCAGACTGACACAGATGTCATGCACAGTACCTTAAGGCAGTA